TGGGGTCAGTCAGCCGATGGGGCGGAGCACGAAGGGACGGGGAAGGGGACGAAATCCCAAGACCGCGAGACACCGCGGCGCGTCGCGTCCACTCAAGGCGACCTCGTCTGTCGCAGACTTTCTCACCCCCTCCCTCGGTCTTGGCCACGGCTTCGCTCACCCTAATCTTCCTCCTTCATCTGCGGCGCCAGCGGCCGGGGGAAGAGGGAGAGGGTGGGCCCCTCGTGTTTTCCACTTCCTTCGACTCGCGACCTGTGTAATTGTTTCACCGATTGTTTCCGATTAGGGGTCCCGGGATCTTCCGTGAGAATACCTTCGCCCTCTCGTGAATATACAGGGTGATTAATGCTGTAGAATGTCGTTTTCAGGAGACTTATCTTTGAATTGAAAACCTTTTTGTTTTTTGGGTGGTGGGGGGCTTCCCTAAAGTACGTAATGCACTTTTTTGGCATTTCTGACCTCCCTCCCCCCTTCTAGAGCGTTATGTAATTTAGGCGCGGCCCCCTAATAGCATTCGCTAAAGTCGATAACTGCGCCCGATCACATAGTTGCCAATTGCCGCTTGCGTATCTTCAGGGTAGTTCCCTAGCATTTTCGAGGACAATGTTTTAGTCTACTCCATCATTTCTGAATTTTAGAATATTTTCTAAGAATTTCCGAGTATTTCAATGCGGCGAATTATGTCGGGTATTCGTGCACAAGTTTTGACCAAAGAATACACTGAAATAACTCCGGATCAAAATACGACCGCAAATGGACTCGCCTTTTGATTTGCAATATTCTCTCAGGAAATGCTTTTAAAACTGTTTCAAGGCGTTACCGGGTCAAATTTTTGGTATACGAATACCTGACCCCGTATACCTCCTCTTTCCCTCCTGAATGAATAAGGGGTCGAGCTCTGAAGGTCGCCGCACCTCGCGCTTCTTTTCTATTTCTGCGTTTAAGTCTCCTCGTTATTCCCACGCGCCAAATCGCGAATGCTTCCGTTTTACGTCTTACAAATAGATGGATCAACGGGTGAAGGTTTCTGGGTTAAGTTTTGCGCGCCAATCCTTGACATATTACAGCGTAATATGATGCTCGGACATTTTCAAAAAATGCCCTAAAATCCATAAATAATCAATCGATCGGTCGGCTGTCGATCCATCTTCGGAATTACCGGAGATCGACTTTTAGATATCCTTGAGAGAAATTACAGAAAGAGGATTTCGTTACACATATGGACCCATGCAGGCAGTTTGATGTGCGTTTTATAATTGAATCAGTGCGAACGGAAACACACCAACTGGGAAAAATGAAAGTAATCAAGAAACGCATAAAACTGCACAGAGGGTGAAGAAGTTAGTCAAAGAAAAAGACTTTTGCTACCGAAAGACAAATACTCATGGACACTTTAAAGGTCCAAGTAGGAACAGATGCGCTAGCTTAAATGACCTTCATGTATATCAACTGTCTTTGATGGAAGTTGAGCATTTTCGAGTTACCGAATTTGTGTGTTTTCGTTCTCACTGATTCAATTCAGGTCTTATACCTTTGGATTAGGCAACTCCTCACAGACAGGAGCAAGATTTACGTTTCAATCTTGAAGACGAGAGAGGAGATGCCCACTTCTTCTCTGGGTAACCTTTTGTCGGAAACTCTAGATGATTAGGCGGAAAAACAATTCTGGCTCGGATTAAGCCATGATTCTGGCTGTCATGCCTCCCTGTAACATTTTCATTAATTCGGACCTCGACTTGGACTCCAATCTGGGTTCTGGGGTGCGTGGCCCGCCCGTCTTCACTATCACAAGATGGGACATTGCTGCCGGATTTTCTCCGAGGAGCGCGTTAATAAACGTAACGTCTTTGCGTAACGCACTTTTTCGGCATATTTGACCCCCCCCCCCTTGAAACGCTTTTGTGACACATGTCCTATCCTTCAACAAAAAGGTATGAAAACACATATCTGTTATCTACATGGTAATTTTATGTAAAAAAACTTGTAACGCTCATATAAAAAAAATCTAAGTTCAGACGTGACCATGATATATGAAAAATGATACAAGCTAGATAAAGAAAAAATTGTTTAATAGACGATTTTTTTATTTTTTTAAAATCTTTTTTTTTTTTTAAATTAACTTTCGCACATAATCTTTATCTTTTCCTTCTATGGTTCTGCAACTAGGGATCGCCTCGGGGCAAAGCAGTATGGCCCTATCTGCTTACGCTGAATCATTTTCAATAAAAAAATACCGCTGGGAGCCAGATCTGGCACCCCGAAACGATCGGTTTTCTGGGCGACGCCGGTCTCTCAATTACTTCGAAA